AAGCGCCAACACCATCTGGCGACTCCATCTCACTGTGAGGCGAGCGTGGTTTACCCCGCTTGTCATTGATGATCTACTTCGACACTACCGGGAAAGGTGATAGATTACGGCATGTGGTGCCAATGGCAAAAAGAGAGTGTTCAGCAACACCTCTTGCTATCGCTTCGATTGTGAAGCTGTTCGTCTGAGGTGTTCATGCGTTCTGTTCCCTTCGGCATAGATCATCTCTTGCGGCCAACAAATCTCAACGGAACGCGCATCATTGCTCGAAGATACAGGATCACCACCGGAGTTGCATCCTAACGGCGGTCTCGGCTCTTGCAATGGCCGCATGAGTCGTGTACACGTGTGCGACTTCACGAACATGTGCCCAATGCCCAACGTCCGAGCGTTTAGGTTCCATCACAACAAGCATTCCATCGACGTAGCCAGCGTGCTGTACCTACAGCACCTTATGCACCGGACTACCCCGCAGAATCAATCATGCAGTCGCCTCCTACGCCACCTCACCTTGCATCCGGTGTCAAGGTCTCACCGAAATTGTCGCCTTACGTCATGATGTCACGGATGAGACGACACGACGCAGTGGATGTTGTGAGGCATTATGAGTTTGTAGGGAAAACCTGGTGGGGGCCATTTCGCGGGCTACGAGGAACCCCGGGCACATCGAATGCGTGATCACGCCATATTCAGTCGGCGGTTCCTACTTACCGGCCTTACTGGAAGACAGCGGAAGATGGCGCAACCCGAGGTACTCCGCAACTAACGCAAGACCAGAGAGCGTACCTACCGTGACTACACAGTAGCAGTGCAGGGGATCTGAGCGGCTTGGAAGTAATGCACCTAGGGTAGACGACAAAGCGCATCCAGGGACGGACGATCGTATGTAGGATCTGACAAGCAAGGTACGGCTTCTACTTCCGGCAGAGAGCAACTTCTTCGAAACCAACTGTTCGTTAAAGCGGCCGAAATCATAAGCCCGAGAAGTCGCCCCGCTGCCGCTCTGCTCTATCATACGATTGCTTTTCGATCTCGTATAGCATTTGACATGTATAAGTCCTTGTTCACTGGACACTGACAAGGCTCAGCCCGGTTGTGGTTATTCGGGGCGAAAATCTCGACAACATCGTATTCTTAGGGTCAGCTAGCGATCCTGCAGACGTGTCCTGACGAAATACACGACTGTCACTGGGTTGTCACTTTGCAGAGCAATTGTCCTTCGAGCGGGCAACGGTGACGGACGACTGGCACACTGGAGATGGGAGGGTATCAGGCAGTGCGTTCCGTGACGTCTTCCGTGCCTATGGGATCTAGCACACCCTGATTGAGACCCGATAGGCGATGCGCCCAAAGGAAGATACCGTCCAAACCCCCACTCGCCACAGACTAGTAAGCTGCCTTCAGCCCTTGTCTGCCCTGTTCGAAGAGTAGAACCGGAGCATGGGTCAGCAGGAATACGTGTGAGACTATTGCCATGAATTCTGCTAACGATTACTATGTGTGGCCACCTAAATACTTCAACAGGGAAATCCCTTCTACACACGGCTGTTCTGTGTCAGTCACTCGCGTCAGCTTCATTCCATGGTCCCACGCCACCACCATCATACCGCGATCGAACCCACCACGGCAAAATCCTGTGAACAACACACGCTTCATCCGGTGGTTGGACACGATGGCTCTCTCGTTGACGGACAAAGATCGAACGCAACAAGCACAACGCTTCACGCTCTTAGCAGTGAAGGCGGAACACAGCCGAACGAACTGACGGGGAACACTATGCGCCCGTGTATGAACGCAATCCGTACATGCAGCCTGCAACATCTCCAGCGAAGTGCAATCACAAATTCGCCACGAGCGGCATCTCGAGCACGAACCGTGGATCTCGCGTGCCACGTCAACTGTCCTTGTCAATGCGCGTTCGCCTTTGCTGATCGCGGTAAAATGCATGCAGCGCATCATATGCAGGTCTTGCTAAGACCCAGTACCTGCTCTAGCTTTACCAGACTCCTCCACAAACGCCCCTTCACAAATGGTTCTGTCAAAAAGTGAGGCTTCGTAATCTCCGAAGTCGTAACCCTGTTTGCCGATCCGATTACGCCCTAAGCCGAGACGACCATCACGATGTGCTCTGCCGGCTGCGCGCCGTTCGGTAACACCATTCAACACGCCATGCGTGAATGACATGAGTAAATGAGATTCTTGGAAGCAAGGCGACCAATAGAAGTTGTGGCAGAAGCTCGTGCGCTTCAAGTGCCGATCCTTTGAGTTGGCGAAGCGGCCCACTTCCTCCCTTGGACTTTGCTTATTGCGGAGCCGGAGTCGTGAGCCTCACGAACGTCTTGACAGTCTACTCGAATCCCTCCACTGGTCCACCCCTGAAAGGACTTGGTCTTCCTTGTGTGTTGTCATCGGGTTCAAGAAAGAGGACGCACACTGAAGGTCCGCTTCTACTTACATGCTGACCAGGTCCAGCTGAGTCTAAAATAACGAACGTAATGCGCTAACACTCGCTCATCTAGACTTTCATCTATAACACAGCTTCTTCGCGTCTACGAAAGGCTTGAACGAGAGAATACGATCTATCAACGAATGCCGCATACGGTCACGCTCAGTCGCGCTCAAGCACTCAACAAATGCGTTCCGATGACCCAAAGACTAGACTACGCGAATACGTTCAGCCTTCTCCTAGATACACGTACCACGATACCGATATGTCACACGCCCTCTCATGGTGACCTTCAAGGCTGCATTTGGAACGCTGGAATGCCCCCGAACCTGGCCAGACTGCTACGATGTATCACCGGAAGCCCGACGACCATCCATTGATCTTCCATAAAGATCATAGAGCTGTTGGTACATTATGCAACTAGCTGAAGGACGCGGAAACGACTACACTGGCGATACTTTTTGTTCCTACCAGGTCTGGCTGTGCTCAACGAGGACCCAGTCGCAACTTAGTACCTTCAAAAGTTGACCTAGCACTTGACGCACGCATGGTAACCTGCAGAAGATGACTGCGCAGTACCGAACCACATAATCATATTCATGTAACAGGTGCTAGTAAGCTATGGCGAGTCCGGTCCTAGCAGATATCCTCGTCTCATTTCCCAAAGGTGAGAAGACATCATTTGGATGAAGAGGCTAGCAGAGAGGTTCATAGCGGAGTGATCTTCTTATCTCCAAACCTTGCTTGTCACTGCCTGACGATACATCTCGAACCGGTTGACTAGGAATGAAGTCGCACTCGAAGATGAGTCAATAAGCTCGGTCCCGAGAATATTCATGGACGACGCTGGCGATCTCTACTTTCTCCATTCCTTGAAACTTTGGTCGGGCCTTATGTGTCCCTTACGGATGTCTTTGATGTCTCGGGTGGTTGATGGGAGCTTGGTAGTCTGCTCCCGGCTAATGACCGACTTACTGGTTCGCGATTTGGCGGTCTGCTGGGCCAGCTGTGACGAATTCGTGCGACACCCGGGTGGTAAACCTAGGTACTACCGATACCACCGAGTTGACAAACAAGAGTTTGAGGTTCAATTTGTACGAAGTGATCCTTCCCAGATCCGATGTCGAAGTCGCGTTGCGAGGCCCGTCCGGTTGTCGAACCACCTTATGCAAGAGACGATTGAACAGATGCACCTCATACAAGGAGCACACCGAACGGGCCTGGAGCCTACATTAGATTAACAATGAGCAAAGGTGGAGGCGCAGTGTCAATGTAGGCTCCAGGGTGTTCAGTCATTCTCCTGGATGGGGTGGATGCACTGCCGTCTACATTATTATGATAAAGAGAGTTCTGTAAGTTCATTGGGCGATGTATACTCCTAGAAGGTAGGTACTCAGTTGTTTTCTATTATGAGTGGGATCACGTGATTGCACTAGCCTTTTGTTACCTAGATAGCCTGCTGCTATGAGGTCATCTCGAGGTCCAGCCCGATTTAGCTGGAGGCCGCTGGAGAGTCTGACCTCAGCCTTGAGCATCTCCACACATGCTTCGCTTTCGTAGGACGTACTCCTCATACGACGTCTCTTCCCACCTGTATACTGCCGCCGTCGCATAGGCCTTATTTATCTACGGCGAACTCCATTTTCGCAGCCAACGGCCTATGTACCCAAGCTTTCTTGTCAATCGCGCACTTGTATTATAACGCAAAAATTGCATAGCCCTCGATATCTGATCCGAACGCGCCAGTCATGTCTAAAGCTCTAGCTGGAGTCTCGTCGCTGAAGCCGGAAAAATGCCTCGCTCAGGCTGTCTCCGATTCGAAGTCGATTCCTCAGACAAGCAGAAGTCAAGCTCTCGAGCACTGAAATTTCAATCGCCCTCAACAGCACCTACCGCGAGCGATGAGATGCGGCTGACGGCCAGGGTTAACAGTGCGCCTCATACCCGCAAAAACTTAAACAAGTCTGCGGACTACATCAAGACAAAAAACTGCAAAATAGGTGATCCAACGTCAACGTAGGCTCTAGGGTGTTCAGCCTTTTTCTAGATTGGCTTGGTATGTTCTAACATACTATTGATTATCTATAGGTAATGTAGAGCTGTCGGAACACTATACAAATAGCTAGAGCGCATTACTAAAACGAAAATAATAATACGTCTTGTTTCTACCCAGTCTAGCTGTGCTTATTAGGGAGTTTCCTCGTAATTACACAATAATCGATTGCTAGCTGAACAAGCACTAGGTATTACTTAATTCTAAGCGGCGATCGAATTGTATTATGCTGCATTATAGAATAAGGCTCTCCCGAGTCTTGTAGATTCTTTAATACTACTAAAGGGAACTAAAATGTATTTTACATCTTGCTGTATACATACTATTGAATGTCAAGAAGTGAGCAGTCCCTAAGATGATGTAGACGTCTGTCTACCTGTACATTTTTTCCCATAACGTTTCTATCGAATGCGACACAAAGTGTAGCTACCCTACCAAGACTTGGGAATGATCGAGATTGTATGAGATGCATGAGCTCTCTTGTTACCGACTGAGCTCGATTTAACTGGCTATCGGCGAGTAGCCCAGTTGCTCGCTAGTGGCTTCGACTTTCTGCAGAGAGGGTATCCTGAAGAGTACTAGATCCTGGGCCGTTGGCCTTCCAATTCTGATGCTCGAAGCCATCCTTCGAATTTCCAAATCCATGCTTCGGAACATCTTCATTTCATGCTTGAGGCTATGCCTGTGATCGCGACCCAGAGGTATGATCTTCAGTGGAAGACCCGGTTTGGCGCTTAGCGCTCGTCGTGTGATGTCCTTTACAAGCATCATTTCATACATGCAGTAATCTATGAAATCGTCGTCATCCTCGTCGGGAAACAACATTCGTATGCTGATTTCGCAGGTCCTTTTCCGTTCCATTCTTCTCAAAGTGTGCCCTACGAATGGATGCAGTTCCTCGGCTGTGCACTCTCTTTGATTGTAGGCCTTACTATCATCGTCCAGACTAGGGTTCTGAAGCAGTAGCGGCAGGATGATTTCGTTGTACCAGGATGCGAGGACGAGACTGATGAGTTTGGTTCCGTTGTCGTCCCCTGGTTTCTGGGCTTGGCTTAACGATGTACAGCGTCGTTTGCTAGCCTCGTGGAATATGTCTGATATTAAGGTGAACATAGCCTCCCTTGCGGCAGACCTAGGTACTGGGCCGATTGTAACTTTAGGGGACTTCTGCATATTCCTCGTCCTCAAGTGTTCTTGAGCCTCCACGAGAATCGTCTTGTTCACTTGAAGTAGGGCGGTCGGCATTCGAAGTGCTGCCCAGGTGCAGATACCTGGCGTGGGGAATACATGTTTGAAAACACGCTCGGGGAAGTAGTCGTAGATGTAACAGCGCAGTTCGGTTGGTAAGGCCATCAACAGAGACTTATCTGTACTCTGCATGGTGAATGCGGCCATTTGTGGGCTTCGAGGGTAGACTTGTCCTGAGGGCGGCGTTGTTTCTTGTGTGCAGTGTCGCTGGTGTTGAAGGCGGCGGTGAAGACGGAGATGAAGACGAGGATGCTGTTTTATACTTATTGAAAATCTGCTGTCGCATTTGTGTGGCTGACCCATTTGAAATGCTCGATACTACAGTCACCAGTTTGTTGCTATGATCCATGGTTGGGCTGTGTCGTTCGCGGGCGAAGCAGCACCAAACCTTGGAACCATGGATTAGGATTCCCAGCGACTTGACTGCGATCACGCAGAGCGGAACGAGCCACTTACATCTTGTGCAATACCAATAAGGTATGCGACTCGACACCCTCAGAGATGAGCAATCGCAAATACCCAGGTGTAATGTTCTCGGAGTAGAAGGTCTCCCAGCTATGCTGGGGGTGCCGAATAGTTCTGCAAACTGGCGAGGCTGCCATGCCGCCAGTGTTGAGAAATTCTGGGGCCATCATACATGGTAGAAGGGCTTACAATGAACGGTCACATTGCGGCGGCTTGTTCGAAGACAAGGTGCCCAGGTGAACTTTCGAGGTGGGCTTATGATGGTGTGACTTGCGATTCCGAAGTTCCGAAGCTTCGGGAAATTGGCAGCCAATCAGCACGTGCTTTATAATCGTGTCAAATTGCCCCGGAGTTCGCCGCGGATGACATAGGCTTCGGCGAATTTAGTGACAATGCACCAACCGTACCTTGCCATCTATTCACTCAACACGCGCGCCTTACCAAGTCCACACACAGCACTCCTTCGACCTCACGCCCCTTGATCATGTCGCTGCCTCGAACCACAACTGCCTTTGCGCGCTCCAGCTCGACATTCCTACGATTCGCCGCCCCCTCGGCTACTCCCCGCAGATGCCCGCAATGCGCGCGCACTTTCGCCTCGTCGATACCGTATCGACAGTCAGCTAAGCGCCAGATGCAGACGGCGACTGCGTATCATCCTTCGTCGCTATACCCACAGCCGCCACCAAGGAATGCTGGCGTACCCGACACATCGATAGCTGGTGGAGCAGCCGAGGCAAACAATGCGAAGACCCCACAACTACCGCCGCAAGAACATATCCCCGCGACACCTTCTGAGCAACCGAACGTGAGCATACCCGAAGGCGAAGCACAGAAGCCACAGCAGGCAGCAGGTGCCAGCAAGCCGTTACGGCCGCGTCGCTACAACTTCGGGCCACGGAAGGCCACCATCAAGCTATCACAGTCGGCAGTATCGCATCTCCGCGAACTCCTTGAGCTACCAGAGCCCAAGCTTATCCGGATTGGCACAAAGGCAAAGGGCTGCTCGGGGCTGGCATATCACTTGGAGTACGTGGACAAGCCAAGCCCGCTGGATGAGCAGGTCGAACAGGATGGCGTCAAGGTCCTGATCGACAACAAGGCGTTGTTGAACATCATTGGAAGCGAGATGGACTGGCTGGAAGACAAGCTGAACGAGCGCTTCATCTTCAAGAACCCCAACATCAGTAAGTCTCGACACAAGATGCTACGAGAGACCAAGACTAACATTTTCTAGCGGAGCAATGTGGCTGCGGAGAGTCCTTCAGCGTATCATGATACCCTTACGATTCGATCACTATACCTTATAGAAGCATTACCGGCGTTGCATCTTCGGCGTTACACATGCATATGGCATAATTCGAATATCATTACCACCACCGGTAGCACGATTGCTACTTGGCTTCTCTACCTACATGCGATGCAGACTCGCAATACCTCCATTGCAAGATCAGCAACAGTGGTTTCCTGGAACCGTAACACTTGCACGAGTCGACAGCATTGTCTCGGGATATTGGGTGCCAGTGGGATCCATCATTCGTTACTGACACTATGTCTACATCTTCCCTGGCTCGTAGTCGAAGACTTTGACACCATTCGCTACCTCTCCAGCAAACTTTACGAAATCTTGATGGGCAGGGTCTTTGTATACGTAGTAGTCGCGGTCCTCTTCGTTCTCAAACTCCACTACGAAACCATGAGTTGAGTTACCCTATCCATGTCAGCAGGTGTCGAGGGGCTCATGGATATTGCATACGCTGTGTCCTTCAGGGCTATTGTTCTTGCCACCTGAGAAGGACTTGATGTATGGCTTTTGGGAAGTTGGATGAATGCACTGGTCTTTCAAGCCGAGCATACGACTGCAAGCCTATGATGTATTAGTATGAATGATGTATGTTTAGATTAACATGGAGGTACTTCTGAGATTTGCTCTGGTGAAGCTGTGGACTTCCACTCGAATAGTACAATGTGAATGATCGTCATCTTGAGAACAAGTCGCTACGAACAACTGATTATGATGCGAGGAGTGGTGATGTAGCGAATGGCTAAAGAGGGGCAGTTAACATGGCGGGATGCACTTCGGATATAATGACCTCAGCGCTGCTAAGCTCCGGGCGAGCTGCCGCGTCGCATAGTCGGCAGCGCGAACATCGCGAACCCAACTATCAACGCCAGATATCCACAGCATTCCGAATAATGAAGCTAAGACCGTTATGACCCAATACAGATACGATATTCCCATTCAATAGCGCACAATCGCCTCAACCCCCAAGCAGCCGCCGCTGCCTCCTACATCCCACGCTATGTCGAATGCGCCAGCTCTCCCCGAGCAACTCATCTACCTCATCATACGCTTCACAGCCTCAGTACCGGACCTCCCACTCTCAATAGATACCCCACGAACAATCGCGACCCTCTCCATCAAACAGCTTATCCGCCAACACTTCCCGTCCGAACATGCCTCGGCGCGTCTACGCCTCATCTACGCGGGCAAAGTGCTCGCAGACACGGAGCCATTATCGAAATCCCTACGATTGCCACCCCCACCGCCTCCTCGGAACACCAAGAATAGCGATGCAGTGGGAAGCGGTAGCGGAGAAGCCAGCAAGAGCAAAGGCAAACAACCCCTACGAGAAACACCCGCGGTCGAATACGGCACAACAACAGAGATACCCCCCTCCGCAAAAAAATACTACATCCACTGTTCCCTCGGCGACGCGCTCTCCGCTCCCGAACTCGCCAGCGAAGCCACACTCGCCCAGAACACAGAGATAGCGTTGAAGTCGCATTATAGTACATCTTCCTATTCTTCCCCCGGACGGCGCGCAAGTAGTACGACTATAGAACATAATGCACGGAGACGTAGCTCGACGGCTACGACGAATACGGCGAATACAGTGCCTCAGGCTCAGGGCTTCGATAGATTGCTAAGTTCGGGGTTTACGAGGGATGAAATCGCTTCTCTCCGCGCGACGTTTACGCAGAATCTCTCGTTTACACATACGCCTGACACTATGCCCACGCCCGCACAGATCCGCGTCTTGGAAGACAGATGGCTGGACTCTTCGGCCAACGACCCTTCTGCCTCGCTTACAGGTGGCGCTGCGGGGGCTGGTGGTGCTGGCACGGATGCAGGCTGGGGCGCGGGGTTTGCGGTGGAAGAAGGCGGGTTGGATGATATGCTGTACGGGTATCTGACGGGCTTCTTCTTTCCGCTAGGTAGTCTGGTGTGGGGATTTAGGGAGGAGGGGGTTTGGACGAGGAGGAGGCAGGTTGCTGTTGTTATGGGGGTGGTGCTGAATGCTGTTTTTGGGTTTATGCGCTGGGGTGGGTAGGTCTGAAAGGAGGTGAGGAGAGTAGGGGTTGGTATGAGAGAATGATGAGGATGGTCTATTGATACCGGTGCGTTCGATACCCTGGAAAGTATCTATACGTCGACGTCTTCGTCGCGATCATGAGTCTTGTCATCTACGTAACATGTTGAAGGCAAAGATGCTTCTCCTTCTTCCTTCCTCAAGTCTAGCCTTGCTCTGCCATTGCGATATACCCCGAGCCATTCCCACATACCCAACCGCTCAAGCATTCTCGTGCTACCGACGAATATCTCACTTCTATACCGTCAGTCAACCTGAGAGATCGCGCGATATGACAAGCAGCCACATACCTGAGCCTGCTCAGCAGCAGGCACACCACCAAACTGCATCGGGACAGACCGAGAATTCGAAGCCCAAATAGGAGCATACATATTCTTGATATGCGCGCCGCCGCTGCCAATGTTCAGCGGCGCTACAATCTCGCCAGTCATGCCTGTAAAGCGTGAGTTCTTGCGACCTTGCGCCCATTTCGTATATGTGTGTCGGACTTACCGAGTGAGTAGAATCCTTCTTGACCTGTGTTTGCTTGTCGCGCGTTCCTAAGCGCCTTCTCAATGACATTGGCTTCTTGACGTTGAGCCAGTCGCATGTGCTTGAATACGGAGATGATGAGGTCGTTGATGGCGGGGATGTAGAAGGATGTGATGGAGTAGATGATTATCAGAATGACCATGAGGGCGAGGAAGACCATAAAGGCCAGTTGCGGGAACATTGCTGCGTCCATTTTGGGGATCGCGTTTGTGGGGTGGGGTGCGAGAGGGGGTGGTGTGTAGGGTTGGTGGTTTGGAAATGGCGTAAGTGAGAGCGAAGTGCTTGAGCTTTGGTGTAGCGACGAGTGAGGGAAATGTTTGATATATCGGATAGTGGTTGCGACATCTTTGACGATATGAAGGTTATCAAACTCACCGTTATTACTTGGAGATTTTGTCAGGGAACAACGAGACAAACATATGTAGACATTGTGTCCCATCATTAGCTTGATAAGCACCACATATCAAAAGATTTCAACACCTACCTCAGAAGCATACATTACCGTCACACTGGGATAATGTTACTTTTTGAATTGATGTATACAGCAGCAACTTTTCGGCTTTTTCGTTGCATTCAGTGACACCTAGAACGACATCGACGTCGCCAGCAACAACATCCATATCGACATTAGCAGATTCGCATTTTCGAGTTTGTTCAACACATGAGAAAGTCAGATGGCCATCTCTAGCTCCAGCAAGTAAGCAACCTTAGTTTAGGAAAGTTCCTGTAGCGTGCCAGCAGCGTTTCAACGGCGTCATGCAAGCGCATGCACTACGCATGTGTGGCGCAGACGCTATTGTTTCCACCGTCTGCGCTGTCGACGTCCTGCAATGCAAATGCAACAGGGCAACCATGGCGACGAAGAGTAAATGGGGAGCCGGTGGTGCAGTAGGCTGTGGCAGCGAGTCGAAGGGTGCAGCGGCATTGTTTATTTGGGTACGACCTGTGATTACCGTGAGTAACAGTACAGCGTGTCAACAATGCAAAGAAAACAGTCACCAGAAGAAGACGAATATTTGGGTATTATAGTAAGTCTGATTGAAAGCTGGGGGTATCTATGCGACAGGTCCGTGATCCATCAAGAATGATTTCCTCTCCACGACCATTGAGCATCCATCTCTCTCAGACTGTACAAAACAAAAGGAAAAAGTGTTCGCTCAAACTCCATGCTTGCTGTTTCGTTCATTACCGCATCCATCTTCCTTGCTCGATACCGGGGGTATAGTATAGGGTATAAACATCCACACTCTCTCGTCCGAAAAGAGACAATCGCGCTCCGTCCGTTATTTTGCGAAGACTACGCGGCGATGTGTTGTAAACGTATCGTATCGTCGTGTGGTCCTGGCAATGAAGAAGTAACGGCCGTCGAGCGATCGTCGTTCGTCGTCGTAGTAGTAGTTGGGTAGTAGATATAGCGCCTTAGTAGTACCCGTATCTCCTCATGCGCCATCCTTCACAAGGGGAAGTAATGATCAGTACGGCGACATGTGGGAAACGGGTTCACACTAGACTCTACTAGTATGCGTTGTCCTCTTTCGGCCGCCGCCGCGTCCGCAGGTGAGGCAGCTGATGATGATGCCGAAGAGGGAGACGATGGCGTTGATGATTGCCTTAAGACCAGCAGCGATGGCGTTGACAATGGCCATGATGCAGTTTCCGATGGTGCGGAACTAGAAAGCGTGTTAGGGACAGTTTGTATAGGCAGGCAAGTGAGGGCTACGTACAACCGACTTGATGCAAGAGACGACGGCACCCATGATAGCGGTGTTGTTCTGGTGAAGGTTTCGGTGGTGTAGTGGATGGAGGACTCGAAGGTGGAGAGGTGACTGTTCGTAGGTTCGTTGGTAGATGGTATGGTTTGGGGAGAGTGTGGTATCACAACAAAGGGCTTTGAGCCCTCTCACTTATAAGCAGCCGCGAGCCAGGCGCCGGAACAACGACCGCCCTTGCACAACCGCTACGTCACGCGGCGTCCGTGCCCCCTTGTCCTCCAGATCCTTCACCTCAATCTTTGGCCTGCGTAACGAAATTTCCCGACTCAAACTCCATTCCTGCAGGTGACTGTGCTGCGTCTGCAAACAGCCAAGCTCGCAACGTCAGCGGGAAAAGTCAGGTTTGCGACAACCAAGCCGCCCGATGCGGCAGGGATGGGCGACGGACGCGCTCAAAGCAGTCGCGCAAAACAGGGTTGGCCCTGCGACGTCGACGTCGGGTGTGGGTCGCGCGCCACAACCTTAAAGAGCGCCGACGTCACTGCCCGTCCCTGATGCAGTAGCGATCGCAGCCTGCGCGTGGCTGGGCCCATGGGCAACGCAATGCCCGCCTCTCACGATCGCGATGACTTTGCCATGGCAGCGCCTGAAGCAGGTAGACCGACTTTTGATAAGCCCATGCTGCTGATTTGGTGCGGCCACTCTACCGCTGCTCGACGTTGTGCGACGCCAGACCACCGTTATCGTGCCAACCACGCCTGCCCGCCCACCTCCTTCTCCTCACCTGTAGCCATCATCCACCCATATTTGATCACCCCAGATGCTCTTATCCGGCATGGCTCCACCGTTGCAACATTCCCAGAACTGTCGTGCAGCCTGCATCGTCCGTGTCCGTAACTGTGACGTAGCCATCTGTGGCGGCCCATCTAATTCTCTTCCGCATCCTTGCAAACAACAGCGGCTCCAAATCTCCACTCAACCCGTGCTGTCTTCTCCAGCCGCTCTCTCGCCTCGTTGATGAGGTGACGCCACAGATCAAACACGCGTGCGTGGGTCATCCACCCATATTGACATCAGTCCGTCAGGCAATCTCAGCAAACAGGGCAACGGCACGCGGGCCACATGGGTTCTCGTCTCAACGTCTCACCACCTTTTCGCAAACCCATGTTATCATCCGTACCGCGGGAGCTAGTCTTTCCAAGCAGCAAGCAACTGCAAGTAAAATCGTGGTCTAGACTGCCCGGTCGCATGCTCATATCGCTTGGAGGCCATGGCATCTTTCCAAGGCATCTGCTGGAAATAGCACGGCTAACCTGGCACATCGGAATTAACACCAAAACACGATCTTGGATCGGACCCTCGATGCCCAGAACCGCAATCTTGCTTTCAATCTCCATGTCCCTCTGTCGTGGAGATTAAAGATTAAGCAGAGCGGCTGGGAGCCGACATGGCTCATGGGCGTTTCGGGATTTATTGTTTTGCACCCATGTTTGCGGTGAGAAGGTTTAGCGCTGGTTGAGGCCCTTGGTCTGGTGTGGCTGGTGACGCGCCGTCGCAATGTCTGACATCGGACTTCTGCGCACAAGGAGCGGGCCGCCGCTCGACGCTCGAGGAAAAAAAGTTGGTACAAGTGGAGTCTAACCGGCCAACACCACACATCACGCATGCATGCACCAACCTCATCAAAGGCAGCATAGCCCACCCTCAGCGACGCAATGTTTCATCATCATCAGTGTTCCATTATGCGCATTGCCACTCCTGCCTTCGTCTAGCTACTATCCGGCTTTGTTCGTTATTCATACACTTCGTAAACATGCCGTATCCAACATCCTAAATCAAGCGCCGAGATGCTCTTTCTCCCGTCGCGAAGCCATGCACATACTGCTAACGTCATGCTGCTGAGGAAAATGGAAAAGGAAATGTCGTCTGCTTGTTGCTGTGGGTATATGGGTTGTTGTCGAAGAATCATGGGTATTCATTGCTGATGCTGTGTTGAAAGACCAATACAGATGTGCCGAAGCGATGTTCGATGATCGATGCGATGTTTACGGGAATTCGTTGAGCTCTCCACCTCATACAAGAAAGACCCCGAACAGGTCAAGAGCATACGCCGACGTCAGGTCACCTATCTCGTAGGTTTTCAGGTTGATGTAAGCTGCAAGCCTGTTCGGTTTTTTTCTTGGTTGACGTGTCTTCATATACCGTCGTATCATACTGGGTAAGCTGATCGAAAGCTGTTGCATGAGGATGTACTCGGCGTATAGGTCTCTGCTGCTGTTGATGTCGGTGGTATGACTGCTCCGTATGATTCTGGGCTCAGTTTGCAATTTTGTTCTTCGGAACGGGAGGTATAGTAGTCTCCTCGGTGATCCTAGTATCCAGTTTGGGCCTCGAGCTCGATCGTGAGACTAATCTCATTCGACTTGTTGCTTGCTTATCCGGGGTGACGACATTGCCTGCGTCTGAGAGCGCCGAAGAAGAAAGAGCTGGAGTCATGGGCCCCTCAGGATGAATGCCAAGTGGACTTGGATACGTATCGATCGTCTCATGACTTTGCTTGGGAGTCTTCATATGAGCTTCGCTCAAAGCCCTGTGGCGTCCGGGACTCATCGAATCGCTGTACCCGTGTCTGCTCCAGTTGGGGCGATGCAGGCGAGCCGCCTTGGGTAGACTTGAGTAAGATGCTTGCGACTGGAGAGTTGCACTCCTGTGCCGTTGGGCGGGCCGGTCTGTGGGAGTATCGTGACTTTGCTCAGGCAGCAAGAGTTCGGACGTCGCATGATCGCTGTCCATCTCTCGCATGAACTCGTAATCCTCGTCCTCAACCTTGGCTATCCGCTTCACATGTCGCACTTCAAAGTACGGTGTCTTCGGCAACTCTGGCATCGAGTTAATCGACACCGCACGTGGTCGCGGAGTGTCTTGCACTGCGAAATCGATATGCGCAAAGTACTTTTCACGCATCGGGTTCCAGCTCAACGGCGCCATTTGTTCGCGGTTTCGCAAGATGGACAGGTAGCTTGAGACAGCGCCGACCAGGATCAAAACAATCACAGCCACCGTCAAGAGACCTTGGATGACGATTATGATGATGCCGATAACGGTTGTAGGGATACGAGCGATTCCAAACCGTGTATCAAAGGCTGCCGAAAGACCTGTAGTAGTAATCTTGCTAAAGCCGAGAAGATACACGGCCAAAACGTTCAGGCGCTGTCCTTCGAAGGGGCGAAGGATAGTGAAGGCGATGAAGGCAACAATCTCAACGACAAGTAGGCCGAAGACTTGGACGAAGGGCTGAGTCGATGCGCCGGCAAGGAAGCATGCTCGAACGAATTCGTAGAACAGCCAGACGACAAAGAACCACCAACGAGTCCTCCTGTAGCGAGAGGCCAGCCAACCAAACTTTGTTGTGTAACGCTCGTCATCATGGATTGATGTGGTATCCGCCGTAGCGTGTATAGTCCACCAAGGAATTGAACCGATGTAGGTCTCGTCTTCGGAGCGCGGATTGTTGCTGTTTCTGGAAATGCTGAACCATGGAATGATCTTGTGCAATCTTCGTTTGACTACGTTTAGTCGATCGGGTTCCGAGGCATACTTGCCGATCCGAAGTCTGGAGAAACAAGCGTAGGCGGCGATACTGCCTATGCCAAAGACTACGACAAAGAAAGCGGCACAAGCGACTGCAACAGGACCAGAAAGAGCTAGGTAGGAGAACTGGAACATGGCCAGGAATGTCAGCATGTAAAATCCGATGAAGATTGTTCGCAGGATGGTCGACAGAGCGAACGCAAGGTAATGGCTTCGGAAAAAGGCCAGGTGGTGCTTTTTGATAAAGCGTATGCTACTCAAGCCTTCGAGGACAGCTTTCAGGGAGAGTACAGAGACAACACCGCATGCGACCAAGATCAAGAACCAGAGCAGTCCGGTCATGAAGGCGTTGCTTGCTGGGATGTGTTCCGTCGCAAGGGTGCCAGCGAATCCAGAATAGTTGCCCGGGAGTGGCAGCCCAGGCTTTACGGGCAGCCCGTAATATTTGAATCCGCTTTTCACATCGACGAGATGGCGCTTGGCTAGGGCAGCTTGGAAATTCAGATCTTGAGGAAGAGCGTCTCGTTTGTATATTTGGTGGATGTCGACCCCTCCCCCAAGAAGGGGATTACTTTCGCCTGTGCCTGCGGCGCCGACATGCGATGTATTTCCTTTGTTCGAGCCGATGAAATCGTTGATCGTGTTCTGCATTGGCTCAGAGTAGATCATACCCCCAGCCCAGGCATAGTTGCTCCAGAAGGCCACGAGGACGCTTGGCCAGTTCACCGAGAGCGCTCCGCTATAGAAGATGTGGTGCCATACCGCGAAGACCACAGACACTGACAGCGAATGGGCGTAATTCTTGCGCATCTCGACGATGTTGGACCCGTAGGCGGCTGTAGCAAAAGAGGAAACGACGGCTATGAGAGTGAAGAGCCCTAACGTTGAGCCCACTGAGCTCTTCTGCTGAAATGTGAAGCCGTTGGTGATCTGGGCCGCGAAACAGCCGATCTGTCAAGCTGTTAGCACGAATACGAATAGTAAGATGTCTGAGCACCGCGTTGGCAAAGCATAGCAAGGGAGCTACATACTAGTAATAAGTTAGCAAGATATCTTGAGAGCTATTCGTGGCGGCTACTTACCCTCGTTCTGTGTGGAGTTGGAGAACAGTCGCAGGATGGCCTGGCCTTCGAAGTCGGGAATGCTCAACGCAATCTCTGGGATCCCTGCGACGTCGTCTTGATTGATCGGTATGATGCCCGCCGCCTCGATGGGAACGCCAGCTTTGACGGGACAAGCGCTGAGTATGTTGGCGTCGCAAGGGTTGAAGGTCAGATCGAATCGACTCTCGCCGTACGCGTAAACGCCGATGTTCATCATTATGTCCTCTTTCCGGAGCCCAGTCTCACCTTCTAGGTGGAAGATGATGGTCATGTTGTCTTTGTAGTAGGCAGCGTCGAATCGCGTAACGTTGATGGCGCTCTTGCCTAGGCAGTCGCCATAGTCGGCAGTGTAGAGAGATGGTTGTCTGTCGTCTCTGACTTGCCATTTGTCGCCATCGATGATTCCGACCACCCACGTACCGTCATCGTCTACGTTGACGGAGCCGGCCGGAGAGAATAGCAGCAGGCCAGCCGCCAACAAAGCTTGGGCGCACCGTGGTAGATACATGTCGCCTGGACGTGTGAGAACGGATCTCGAGGCCTTGTTGTCGTTTGTATGCGTATGGTTCGGGGCGTCGGTAGGCCGACCGGAGTTCGTGATTGACCGTGATACGGGAAACGAATGTTGGGAGAGAGCGAGGATAGTCGGATCAGGATGTCGGGGTGCAGATGTGTAGTGGTGCGACCAGACGCAGCATCGCAGAGGCCTAGGCAACAGCAGCGAGAGAGAGGTGAAGAGTGCAAACAGGGTGGTGAGTGTGAGTTGAATCATGCAAGCATGGTCTGGCGGGTGCTGGCAGGTGCAATGAAGCAGGAGCCACTAGCGACCAGGCAAGCACGTTCCGATGTAGTAAGCGCGATCTTTTTGCATTCACAGATCGCCTAATCTGGCAATCACTTCCAGGACCTAACTGTGTACATGAATATACTCACACAGCCTCCAGTCATTTCATTGACATTGAAGTTCCGACCCGATTACATGGTCATCGCATAGGATGTAGGAGCAGCAGGTACGATGCGCTAAGCTTTTTGACCTGCGCTAGTGCCGGTCTAGCGCGCTACTGTGGGAGCCGTGGTGAAGGTGCCTTCATATGCGAGCATTCGGTACCAGAAGCATCTCTGAATGTGTCAACAAGACGTGAAATTGTGTCTGTATCCAGGCCAGTACAGGGTCCAGGTCAAGGCTAAAGACCCGAGCTCGTCGTCTTCAACTTGCGGTATGAAGTACGAGATTGGGAAAGAGTACATAGTTTGACAGATTGCCTATTCCTTCACATACGACCATAGGACAATGAGAATTAGGCTTCCCGTCCGCTCAGCCATATACAAGCATTGTACCGGCGGATTAGTAGTTAGGTGGGTGACCACTAGCGAATCCCCGCTGTTGTATGTTTTTGTTCTTTTTGCCGTAGTCTTGAAATGTAGGCGTGGACCTCGAAGCTATCTCTTTGCTTGATGTGGTACGCGGCATGTGTAGGGTGAGGGGTCTGCTTTGTTCCTTTTTGCCCATGCAAGTGAACATCCGTCTCTTTTTGTAACATGGAGCGGTGTTTCTTGCTTGATCAGACGTGCTGCGAGCCCAGGTATCGTGACATCTCTTGTGACCTTTTTGGTCTCATCATTGCGCTATTGGGTATCTCAGCTTGCGTGTCGACTCTCAAGTATCCCATCAAGTCAGATCCCTTCCGTCCATCTCGGGCCTTCTCTTATCTTATCACTAGTACGAGGGCACTACCTTATACAAGAGGAAATCTGAACAGGCCTGCAGCCTACATCTAGACAAAACCATCTAAAATAGATGATCTGACGTCAACGTAGGCTCCAGGGTGTTCAGGTTTTTCCTTGAACGAGGTGCCACGGCAACCCCTCAGACCGTGGGGCTACCTCCATTGAACGTGCCCTTGGCCTTGACACAAAGGTCCCCACCGACACTCTCCAGCGTCGCAACAATCTCCTGCTTCTGTCTCGACGCGTCAATCTTCTTCGTTAGGTCCTTCTGCGGCGACAACCATCCTAACCAGCTCTTTGTAAGTTCCGCTTCAGGTTCTGGCGGCGGCTCGGACTGAGGAAGGTCAGGTTTCGAGAAGGAGGCACGGAGGATGTAGAAGTCGAGGCTGTAGGTCGGTTTGGCGTAGGTTAGGCTGAGAGAGTCTGGACGGTGGACTGGTTCTATCTTCAGTGTCAGCATGAGCGTAATCTCCGTAGGTACTTGACAAGTATACACACCCACGATACCATCTGGCCCTCTGACCATTCTCGCCATGATCTCTTCGAAAATGGTTGCAATAGCCCCGCCATGCGCAACGCCGGGCCACCCACTCATTCCTCCTCCTATCCAGACCACAGCCACCATCTCTTTTGTCTCTGCACTCCAAAACGCTCTTTGCACACCCAATCCTCGCGTGCCACTCATGACGCCCAATATGCCTTTCTTGCCCTCATTCTCTCTCCCAAAGTCCAGATCCAGCTCCAGCCACCCTTTGTACGCTGATATCTTCCGACTTGATCCAGGGGATGACGTTATTCCCGGTCCTGACCGGAGCGCTGTGTCGGTATGTAGGTTGTATGACTGAGAGCGCAAGGATTGTACGATTTCGAGAGCATCGATGTCGCGCCGCAGAGAGTCGAGGATGATCTCGTCTTCTCTTGAGCCTGGCTCTGGGAGACCGAGAGGCGCGGCAAAGTGACGAGCACCTAGACCAGTCGTGATGCCGAGTGCGAGTATGCTGGCGTACCAGAAGTATGACCAGCGGATGCGGGATTGGAGGGGGAGGGGAACATCGCGATGCGCATGGTAGCTGGAGGAGCGGAAGGTTCGGCAGGCGGAATGGCAGGATTGTTTAAAAGGTGCGCGATTGAGAACAACGCGCGCTCGTGACATGCTGACCGCTGGCTGCAGGTAGCAATTGCTGAGAGATCTGGGAGGCTTCGATGATGGAGATATCGCGAATTGGTGGCAGGGATCACTTCACCGAGGCTGAAGGTTAGCGGCTTGGCATTGGCGAACACCTGGACTTCGCGTCCTGCCTTATCAACACCATCACCAAGTGCGCGTCGTTTTCGGGCTGTGAACGCGACGATATCTGCACCGCAAGCACTCTCTATACTGTCACTCTTGAGGCCTTCACGCGTCTTGTCATGGTTCACTTCGATCAGAACACATCGCGAATAGCTGCGCTTCGCGTAGACCATCTTGCGCGCCCAAGAGCATGCATGTCTTCGTTTATCCCGCGGCGTAGATTTTGATACCGCACATCCTCTCCATGTGTTAACCCTCATGGATTCCGATCCTCAACATGGACAATGTCCAACTCCTCCGCCTTAACACCATGGAACATGCGAACCTGCAGGTGCTCTGGTTAGCCTCGAACCCTCCGCGTTGACACCCTTATGGGACGGATACCACATACATTCATCCCTAGCAGATCTGGCGGCGCATCTCCAAACTCGCCCATCCTAGGATCAAGCCAGACTGCACTCCCACACCCACTACAGAACCTATGCAGAACCCTCTTGACACCAAAGGAATAGTCTCTCAACATGTCCTCACCGCTCTTTACTTGTAGCTGCGACCGTTCGGGGTACACGAGCAAGTAGCCGTTGCGCGTGCAGATGCTGCAGTTGCACGATACAACCTTCCACTGGGCCAGCGGCGGCGAGAGTAGAACTGAGTACTGTACGCTACCGCAGTGGCAACTCGCTGCGTACGTCTGACAATTCTGCGGGTCGAACGCTGGAAGAGGAGGTTTGGTAGGTGAGGATTCGGTCATGGTTGATGGTGTTGGTTGTGCAAAAGGTGGGGTTGGAGGGTAGCTGTTGAGTAGGGCAAGTTGATCCTCAGAGTGAAGCGCAATGCGACATATACTTTGTTTGATATAGGTACGAGAGGGAGACCGGCGCGAATGCTCGTCGTTGCTAGACGGGAGCTATCGGTGGGCGAAGAGGTAGGCTAGATGGGAAGAAGTCTCCGAATCCGCTTTCCGGCGAGTATATGTCTCCGATGCCGTTGGTGTTGTTAAACATACGGAAGGATGCTACCGACGATAGCTCAATGCGGTGGTACGAACGAGTGTTATACTGCGTCATCGTCTAACACCTTTCGCCGATTCACAGCACTATGAGTTCTATAGGACCTCAAATGGCCTACCAAAGATACCGCGTAGTAGTGTAAGCTGTCGGCTGTTGTATTGGCCCACTGGAAGTCAAGCGTTTCAGCTACACTAGGACTACCGGCGCATACAGATAGCATTCTGGATGCTTCAATCATATCGCGAGCATCAACGAAACGTCACAGCTACTCAGTTCATGGAACCACGACTACAGGAAACAACTACACTCTCAACTAACGAAATTACAGTTACATCGTCATGACCATTTTACAAGCTCCATCGCTCCTCGGAGTGGCTCAGCCATCCCCCGAAATCTCGTCCTACCATGCAATATATCTCGCACCACCCTCACCCAAAAAGCAAAAGCAACACGACGAAACACATTGCACCACCCACCCACATACGCATACACAAAAGACGCATGTTTCACCGCTTCCGGCATATACGCCAGCCCAAGCGCCGCCTACTCTAGTGCTTCCCACCATTCCCAGCGATCCTGACCGATGGTAGCACAAACGATCTCGTGCCACTTCACTCCGTATCGCCGTCAGTTCTGGTGTGGTGTTATGCATGAGTCCACAAAGGCGGCCACGGTTTCACGAGATATGAGCGTAACAGGTGCGAGGTGGTACGGTGGAGGCAGGTGGTGGAAGTGAGGCAACGGGTTTGTGTGAGGGGTGAGCCGTGGACTCCGATTGGTGTCTTGGGTCGGAGATGATGGGTAGTGGGTGGCGGTTGAAGGGGCGTGTAGATGTGGCATTAGGAAGGGATTTGAGGGTATGGATTCAGTGGGCTGTACCAGGAAGGTTGGGTTGGGAGGGGGAACCTGGTTTTTGAATTGGATGGGTGACATTGGAAAAGTGGAGGTGGGAGGGTGGCGGCTGTCGAAGGTGTCATGCGATCGAGTTGATGATCTTGTCTTGGAGACGAGCAGCGCAGAAAGATGAGATGTACGTTCAAGTCTCAGAGAGCTTTGAGATGTTACTTGCGTACTGCTGATTCGAGCGCGATCTGAGATGGTTATCGAAGTGGAAAACTTCAGTCACCATACCAACCCACCATGCCAACGACATCCAGTTAGCGCGGTGTCTTCTTGGTGTACAAAACCCCTCGGTCGAGGATACATACTCCTCATACCTCAGTCTCTGCTACTTCATTCCAAAATTCGACGAATTCCATAACATGTCCTTGCGCCTGCAAGAACTCAAAAACGACTATAAAAGATTTCATGGTTTCAAAGAGACGAGGTTAACGCAAGACCACTGCACGATCTCGACATCTGTCTTCTCATTCTTTACGTTACCACCGAAAGCTTCA